CCTCAGGGTGGGGAGCTGCCGCGGGGGGGGGGTGTCTCAAGGTGGGGGTGGGGAGCTGCCGCAGGGGGCGCGCCTCAGGGCGGGGGCTCGGGGACGGGGGAGGGGCGCAAGGTGGAAGTTTCTCCTAGGGCACTAAACATCCTTCCACCGGCCCTGATGGTATTGTATCAGGACATTTAGTGTATATATCTAGCAATACACACAACTGATTGCTGAATATTTATTGACTTTTTGCTCTCATTCTCTCCTGTGTGTTTGCTTTATTGTTAAGCCTGAGGCTTGTAAAAGGAACACTCATGAGAATTGTTTCTTGCTGGTCAGTAAAAAGATGTATTTGTCATACCATGTGAGAGGGGTTAGCAGAATGTCACATCCCATTATTTCAGTTCTTTCTGCAAGTACAGCAAACATCATGAGTCATATAGTCATTTACGTAAGATATGTCTTCATATTCCTTCTGTTGTATTAAAAAGCAGTACCGTATTTTAAAAATAGAAGATGCACAAAAGTTTTCTTTACATTTTTCCATTTTTAACTCGATCTGTTCTTTTCTTTCTCTTGTTATTTTCATTGTTTTAATGAAAGTATTTTCTGTACTCTGTGTTGGCTCTGATCATCTTATGGGAGGGCAAGGTGTTTAGGGCTTGTCTCCATAGCAAGCGAGTGCACAGCATATTAGTGCACTGTAGATTCACACAGTGGATTGGCACACACTAATTCTCTATGGAGACAAGCCCTTAATCATAGCTTTTATTTTGCTTGCTTGTTTGTTTTTTGTTGTATATGTTAAGGTCCTCAAGTCTTGCAAAAGGGAGCTGCCATATTCACAAATGTACTTATTTGCATAATTAAAATATATTAAAATACTTTAACATATAATATCACAGAATTCTTCACAGCATCATGTGTAATCTAAAGGGAAATGGAAAGTTTTTAATGCAAGATATATAGAGATATATTTAACTAATTCATCAATTGTAATTATTCGCAATGACATCCTACATTATAATCTATGTATGTTTACATTTTTAATTTAACATAGAGACTCTTTTTTTCAGCCTGCATGCCATTAAGGATGAGATGTTTCTTAGACATACTTTGTACCGTCAGGCAGCAGCATTTAACCATGCATCCCTCAATCAACCCGTATGTAAAAACAACTATGCAATTGATTGTTTTTTAATGTTTTGTTTTTAGTGGAAGGTATTTGGAGCTTCTAACACTGCAAAGCCTAGTAATAGACTTATATTATGAAGCCAAGCAAATCCAAAAGCAAGAATAAGAAAGATACAAAAGTGATTCACTGCAGAGAGGGTGTAAGGGAGATTCCCACACCTGAGCCATTCTTTTTAGGTGACAAATCTGAGGAATTGTCCCAGATTGAGGTGTTAGTAGAAGCGGTTTTGGAACAAATTAATAAATTACACAGTAGTGAGTCACCAGGGCCTAATGGTATTCACCCAAGAGTTTTGAAGAAACTCAAATATGAAATTGCAGAACTGCCAACTGTGGTATGTAACATATCGGTGCCAGATGACTGGAGGACAGCTAATGTAACATTGATTTTTTTTTAAAAGGCTCCAGGAGTGATCCTGGCACTTACAGGCCAGTAAACCTATCTTCCATATCAGGCAAATTGGTTGAAATTATAATAAAGAACAGAGTTATCAGACAAATTGATGAACATGATTTGTTTGGGAAGAGTCTTTTGTAAATGGAAATCATGTCTCACCAATCTATTAGAAATCTTTAGGGGGTCAACAAATGTGGACAAGGGTGATCCAGTCAATATATCAGAGGGGTAACCGTGTTAGTCTGGATCTGTAAAAAGCAACAAAGAATCCGGTGGCACCTTATAGACTAATATAGTCAATATAGTATACTTAGACTTTCAAAAAGCCTTTGACAAGTTCCCTCACTAAAGGCTCTTAAGCAAACTAAGCAGTAATGGGATAAGAGGGAAGGTCCTCTCGTGGATCAATAACTGCTGAAAAGACATGAAACAAAGGGTAGGAATGAATGGTCAGTTTTCAGAATGGAGAGAGGTAAATAGCAAGGTCCTTCAGGGATCTGTACTGGGACCAGTGCTGTTCAACATATTCATAAATGATCTGGAAAAAGGGGTAAAGAGTGAAGTGGCAATGTTTGCAGATGATACAAAATTACTCAAGATAGTTAAGTCCAAAGCAGACTGCGAAGAGTTACAAAGGGATTTCACAAAACTGGGTGACTGGGCAACAAAATGACAAATGAAATTCATTGTTGATAAATGCAAAGTAATGCATAGTGCAAAAAATAATTTGAACTATTCATACAAAAGGATGGGGTCTAAATTAGCTGTTACCACTCAAGATAGAGATCTTGAAGTCATCATGGATAATCTCTGAAAACATCTGCTCAGAGTATAGTGGCAATTAAAAAAACTAACGAAATGTTAGGAACCATTAGGAAAGGAATAGATAAGCCAGAAAATATCATAATGCCACTATATAAATCCATGGTACGCCCATGCCTTGAATACTGCATGCAGTTCTGGTTGCCCCATCTCAAAAACAATATCTTAGAACAGGAAACAAAAACAGAGAACGGCAACAATAATGATTAGGGGTAAGGAACAGCATCCATATGGGGAAAGATTAAAAAGACTGGGACTATTAGCATAGAAAAGAGATGAGTAAGGGGAATATGATAAATGTCTATAAAATCATGAATGGTGTGAGAAAGTGAATAAGAAATTGTTATTTACGCCTTCACATAACACAAGAACTACTGGTCAGCCAATGAAATTAATAGGCAGCAGGTCTAAAACAAGCATAAGGAAGTACTTCTTTACACAACACACAACCAGTGGAACTCATTGCCAGGTGAAGTTGTGAAGGCCAGAAGTAGGTTCAAAACAGAATTAGATAAGTACATGGATAATAGGTCCATCACTGACTATTAGCCAAGATGGTCAGGGATGCAGTCCTATGCTCTGGGTGTCCCTAAATGTCTGACTGCCAGAAGGTGGGACTGGACAATGGGATGGATCACTTGATTATTGCCCTGTCCTGGTCATTCCCTCTGACGCATCAGGTGCCATCCACTGTCGGAAGACAGGATACTGGGCTAGATGGACCATTGGTCTGACACAATATAGTCATTCTTATGTTCTAATGATTGAAGCAGATTTTCAAATATGGTTTTATTGCGTGCACACAGTTCTGTGTACCTAATTTGTATGTGCATGTTGTGAATGAAAATGAGATCACCTTTGCTGGGGTACAAGGTATGCCAAATCATCACAATGGCTTATGTACTACAAGCAATATCATTATAAAATATTCAGAGTTGATCTGGAGACTGAAAGCAAGATTCCAGCTTGTTTATTATACCCCACCATTGGGGAGTAAGGGTCTGTAAGATTGTTATTCCCATGTGTGGGCTATTCCCATTGTGGGTCACATTGTGATTCCAAAGGGCAACTAATTTCTCTCCCATACATGTAGGTGGGTAGTCAGTGGGCAGCAGTGGGGAATTAGACGAGTTTTGTCTCTGGCTCTCCCTCCTCCCCAAAACATTAGCCAACACAGTTGAGCTGAGCTGTCTCAAAGAGGAAATAATAATCTGCATCAGGGAAAGAGTTGGCACAAATTGCTTCCTCTCTGGAATGAGGGATTGAATTGTGACTCTTTGAGTCACAATTCATTCCCTAATCTGCTCCTGAGGCAGTGCAACTACATGCTGTCCCTTACTTGGGTCAGACTCACTTACTGCTTGGCAACTGAACTTATACAAAGGGGAAAACATTTATTTCATTCACATAGAGTTGTGTGTGCTCTACCCAATTGTGCTGCTCTGGCAGTGTAAAGGGGATGGGTCTGATGATCTGGTTCTTCAGCTTGGTCAGATCTGTAATCAGCCATAGCTCTCATCTCCACTGAACTTTCCCAATAGAACTAGTAGTCTTAACACTCAAACAACAGTACTTGGCACTATAAGTTTGAAAATCCTTCAGTTGATGAATATATCAAGGAATGCCTCTGTTGGAGCCAGACTCATTTTAACTACAAATGTCCATCCTAACGGGTGGGGAAGTACTTCTACAGTCACTATCAACTCAAAGGAAATGGATAAAACCAGAAAATGTCAGTATATTCCTCTAAATTATAGTTCAAACATAAAGGTAGTAAAATCAACCCTGGTGAGGTCAGTCAGGCAATGAGATAGCTGTTACATATCTGTACATGCAAGGGAGAATTTCCATTAGTGGAACTACTCACATGCTTAAATTTAAACACGTGCTTAAGTGCTTTGCAGAATACAGATGGAATTATTCACATTGTTAATTGCTTTGCTGAATCAGAACCTTAATGCATACATACATTGTCCTGGATGTGCAGGGAGAAAGACAAGGTGCAAGGGATTGGATAATTAGGCCACAACCGTAATTATGTAATTCATCTGGGAACTATCTGGCAATAGGTCACACAGTGAAGTTCATCATTGTTTCCTTAATGATTTCCAACTGTTTGAAGACTGCCATCAGCTCCCCACCCCTCCACACCTGCTCCCACCCCATTGCTAGGACCCCACTGGCCTTAACTCATATGAAGGCTAAGGTGCTGGGTAAAGGGGGTTGTCCCCTTGTTGTATCAGACATTAGAAGCCCCGACCCCATTCCCCAGCTTCTTCAGGTGATGCCTTTTCCTAAATCCACTTCCAAATCTGTTTTATCAGGGAACCAAACGGCCTTTAGAGCGAGTACCTGCACTGGCCATCAGAAGTTGCCACCAATTAGCTTGTCTGTCTCCTACCCACCCCTAGCCACTTTCCATTATAGTTATAAAATGCTTTCCAGAGTGGGGATGGAATTACAAGATTAAGTGCTTTGCTGAATCAGAACTTTAACGTGAACATGCAGAGTAGATGAGTTAAAGTTGCTGTGAAAATAGAGCCGTCAAGCGATTACAAAAATTAATTGCGAATAATCGCACTGTTAAACAATAATAGAATACCATTTATTTAAATATTTTTGGATTTTTTCAAATATATCAATTTCAGTTACAACACAGAATACAAAATGTACTTTAGATTTATTTTTGACTACAAATATTTGCACTGTAAAAAAACAAAAGAAATGGTATTTTTCAATTCCCCCATTACAAGTACTGTAGTGCAATCTCTTTATCATGAAAGTTGAACTTACAAATGTAGAATTATGTACAAAAAAACTGCATTCAAAAATTAAATAATGTAAAACTTTAGAGTCTACAAGTCCACTCAGTCCTACTTCATGTTCAGCCAATTACTCAGACAAACAAGTTTGTTTACATTTGCAGGAGATAATGCCACCTGCTTCTTGTTTATGTCACCTGAAAGTGAGAACAAGCGTTCACATGGCACCGGCATCGCAAGATATTTATGTGCCAGATGTGCTAAAGATTCATATGTCCCTTCATGCTTCAACCACCCTTCCAGAGGACATGCATCCATGTCAATGATGGGTTCTGCTCGATAACGATCCAAAACAGTGCAGACCAATGAATGTTCATTTTCATCATCTGAGTCAGATGCCACCAGCAGAAGGTTGATTTTCTGTTTTGGTGGTTTGGGTTCTGTAGTTTCCACATCAGAGTGTTGCTCTTATAAGATATCTGAAAGCATGGTCCACACCTTGTCCCTCTCAAATTTTGGAAGGCACTTCAGATTCTTAAACTTTGGGTCGAGTACTGTATCTATCTTTAGAAATCTCACATTGGTACCTTCTTTGCATTTTGTCAAAACTGCAGTGAAAGTGTTCTTAAAATGAACAACATGTGCTGGGTCATCATCCGAGACTGCTATAACATGAAATATATGGCAGAATGTGGATAAACCAGAACGGGAGGCATACAATTCTCCCCCCAATGAGTTCAGTCACAAATTTAATTAATGCATTATTTTTTTAATGAGCATCATCAGCATGGAAGCATGTCTTCTGGAATGGTGGCCAAAGAATGAAGGGGCATACGAATGTTTAGCATATCTGGCACGTAAATACCTTGCAATACCAGCTACAAAAATCCCATGTTTAACAGTGTAATTAATTTTTTTTATCGCAATTAATGTTTTTAGTTAATCGTGTGAGTTAACTGCAATTAATTGACAGCCCTAGTAAAAACCAAATGTTCAACTTCTTGACATTGATGCAATTAAAAATTAAATTATAATAGTTGCACATACGTTGGGTTTTTGCACTGATACATATTGTTTATTGCGTAAGGTCACATATAAAGTCCAGCTGTGAACATATTCAATTCTACATGTAAAAGAACTGTTTTTTACTTTAGCTATATTTGAACTGTCTTTTGTGTGTCATTATTGTATCCAACCTCCCCATTTAGTCAGATGAACAAAACATTACATGCTATTTCAGTATTTTATTATTGAAGCTTAGTTGTTTGTGAGCATATATGGTCTTAAATTATGTTTTCTTGAAATATGCTTAGTATGTTTTTGGTGTTTTACAGTATGCTGTTCCTCTCTATATTGAAACTGGTGCAAGACAAATAAATGAACGAAGGGGTGGTTTATATTTCCCTTTTTCACCATTGGTATGTAACTGTTTTTTTAATTAAATGTAACTTTAAAATTTTTCTGTGAATAATACAAGTGTATAGTAGAATTTACTGACAGTTTTTAAAAGCAAAATTTTTATATAGCAAGGAGTCAAAAAAAATCTGTGATTTTCACAATGAAAAAATTGTTCTAGTGATTCTTTTGACCACTTGTATCTGACAATGGTTTATTGCAGATATCTGAAAATTCACTATACATGTGTACATTTTAACATGTAGTTGTGAATATTGTAATTTATATTAACTTTTACTTTTTCAGAACTTAGACAAATGGTCTATATTGAATAATGGTTTATGATAGAAGATCTATAGAATATCTAAGGCCAACATTGCACTAAATAACATTTAACAATAAAATTTATAAGTCCTTTTTAAAAATTAGAAAATGTAATAACAAATAATTTACTGTTAAGATTGCTATGTGTAATTCAAGAAAAGACATATAAAGGTTACAAAAACAGTTCTAGTGCTCCATCTTAATATTCAGTTAATACAGTTAAAAAATTAAAAAGAATGATTCTCAATGGCAGGCATCTAAACAACCTTAGCTCTACCCTTTTAACAAGACATGAGCAACAGCAACAAACTCTTAAGGAACCATATCCCTTTATCATGTAGCTCTCTCTCAGAACTGTATATGAAAATTTAAATAACAATGTGTAGGTACTGTATCTTAAATAGGTATTAAATGACTTACTAGGTATTCAATGACTTATATACTAAGTATGTTAAATGGCAATCTTTTCTTACTGAGAAAAATAGTTCACTATACCCCTAATTAGACAACTGTAATTAGAGAGTAAGGTACAGAATAGACTGAATATAATCCTTAAACCAGAGAATAAAACTTTCCCTATTACTTTAAAAAAAAAACTGTTCATCTGATAGTAAACCACCACACTTGTTACTATAGAAGAATATACACAAAATACTCAATTTTTTATTTACAATGTGTGACAGAACTCCTTCTCTTGCCTCAGTGGGTTCTGCACTTCCACTTAGCGGTGGGCTGGGGTATTCCTCTCTATCTTAGAATTTTCCCACACCCCTGGGCTTGCCGTCCATACCTTGCCTGACCGGGGAGGGGGAGGGAGAGGAGAGCCTCTTAGTCTCTGGTAGCCCCTCCCGGTGTGGTGGCAGCAAACACCCAGTTCAGTCTCTCCCCTCCAGTGAAGTCTCTTCCCTCAGACCTCCAGGGCCCAGAAGGGCTGTTCACCCTATTGGGTAGGATTTCCCCTGCCCTTTGCCTCTGTACCTGTGAGGTTTTCCCTCCTGGTGCTTGTCAGCATCTGCACTGCCCAGCTCTCCAGTAGTGTGCTTTCCTCCCACAACTCCTATCGCATGCCCCTATCTGGCTGGAGGGGAGGCTTTTAACAGGTTCTGGCAGGCCCTTGATTGGCCCCAGGGGTCCTAATTAACCTAGAGCAACCTCTGTTCAGTTACCAAGGGAAAAAGGAAGTGCTCATCTGGGGGCTAGTATACCTGCCTTCCAGCACTCTCCTGTAGCCATCTGGCCTGACCTTGTCACATATCCCTCCCCCCTGCTCAACCATGGGGTTGGGCAACTTGGGTCACTAGACAGTGTACCCGGGACAGGCCATCCGCATCACCATGGCGGCTTCCGACTCTGTGTTTTATGCGGAAGTGGAACGGTTGGAGGGACAAGAACCATCTGATCACCCTGGCATTCTTCTCTTTATTCCGTTGCATCCACTGGAGGGGGGCATTGTTGGTCACGAGGACAAATCACCAACCTAGCAGGTAATATCGTAGAGTTTCTATGGCCCACTTAATGGTGAGGCCCTGCCTCCCTACTGCTGCATATTTCTGTTCCCTCAGAAGAAGTTTTCTGCTAAGGTAAAGGATTGGGTGTTCGTCTTCTCTGACCATCTGTGACGGGACAGCCCTCAACTCCACTTCGTATGCATCCATCTGTAAAATGAATTCTTTAGTAAAGTCCAGGGCTATGAGCACAGAGTTGCTGCAGAGGGCTTTCCATCGGTCTGTGAATGCCCCCTCTGCCGCTTCGGTCCATCGCATCATGTCAGGTCCCCGGGACTTTACCAGGTCCGTCAGGGGACTTGCCCTGGTGGTGAAGTGGGGGATAAATCGCCGGTAGTACCCCACTACGCCTAGGAATGCTCTGACTTGTTTTTTCTGGTTTGGCTGGGGCCAATTTTTGGATTGCTTCCAGCTTATTTAGTTGGGGCTTTACCACGCCTCTCCCTACAATGTACCCTAGGTATTTAGCCTCCGCTAGTCCTAAGGCACACTTGGCAGGATTGGCTGTGAGGCCGGTGTTCAGCACCACTTCTACCTTTTCCTGGTGGGTCTCCCAGTCTGGGGTATGGATAATCACGTAGTCCAAGTATGCGGCAGCATAACTGGCATGGGGGCGCAACAACTTGTCCATGAGACGCTGGAAGGTGGCTGGAGCCCCATGCAGCCTGAAGGGGAGAACAGTATACTGAAACAGCCACTCTGGGGTAGAAAAAGCAGTCTTTTCTTTTGCTTCTTTGGCTAGGGGAATCTGTCAATACCCCTTTGTCAAATCCAGGGTGGTCAGGAACCAGGCATTGCCCAGTCGGTCAGCTAACTCGTCTATGCAGGGTACAGGGTATGCATCAAACTGGGATACCTCATTCAGCCGGCAAAAGTCGTTGCAGAACTTTGTGGTGCCATCGAGTTTGGGCACCAGCACGATCAGTCTGGACCACTGACTGGGATTCCTTGATGACTCCTAATTTCAACATTCTCTTCACTTTGGCCTTGACAATCCTCCCTTTTGGCTGCTGGGACCCATAGGGCCTTATCATCACCTTGGCCCGGGGGTTCGTGGGGATGTGGTGATATGCCTTGGTCATCTGGCCCAGTCTCATTGAGAACACATCCTGGTTCCAGTTGACCATCAGTCTTTTGATCCGGCATCAAGTCAGGGGATATCCTCACCTGCTTGGGCTGGCTGCTTTCCTGGGGCAGGTTGTCTTGGGTGTCTCTCAGGCATGCCAAAACTTCAGGAGGTCGACATGGTAGACCTGCTCTTGTTTTAGGCGTCCCAGCTGTCACACCTTGTAGTTCACCTCTTCCACAGATTTGACCACTTCGTAGGGCCCTTGCCACTGGGCCAAGAGCTTACTGTCTGCCATGGGTACCAATACCATCACCCAGTCTCCAGGTTGGAACCATCAAACTTTTGCTTGGTGGTTATAGTGGTCTCGTTGGGCCTTCTGCGCTTTCTCCAAGTGCTCCCATATGATGGGGGTGACTCGGGCTATCTGGTCTCTCATCTGTAGCACATGCTCAATTATGTTTCTCCCCGTGTTGGGTTCTTCCTCCAGATCTTCCTGGCTATGTCTAATATGCCACAGGGGTGGTGCCCATATAATAGCTTGAAGGGGTAAAACTCAGTGGAAGCCTGAGGAACCTCCCGGATGGCGAACATGAGATAAGGCAATAGTGTGTTCCAGTCTTTCTCGTCCTGACTTACCACCTTCCTTATCGTGGCCTTGAGGGTCCTGTTGAATCTTTCCACAAGGCCATCAGTGTGTGGGTGGTAGACAGAAGTCCGCAAGACCTGTACATGGAATAGAGCACATAGGTCCTTCATCAGTTTTGACATAAAAGAGGTCCCTTGGTCAGTCAGTATCTCCTTTGGTAGCCCTACATGGGCAAAGATCTCCACTAGCTCCTTGGCTATTGACTTGGAGGCTGTGTTCCGCAGGGGAATGGCTTCTGGGAACCGGGTGGCATAATCCAGGACGACAAGCACATGCTGGTGGCCTTGGGTCGTCTTTTCCAGGGGGCCCACTAAGTCCATGGCTGTCCGCTCAAACGGGACCTTTATGATCAGCAGAGGCACTAAAGGTGCCCTCAAGTGGGGATGGGGACTGTGTTGCTGACACTCAGGGCAGGAGGCGCAATACTGCCGAACTTCTTCACATCTTTCTGGCCAGAAGAACCTTCATAGGATTCGTGCCAGGGTCTTCTCTGCCCCTATGTGCCCTCCAAAAAGGTGACTGTGGGCAAGGATTAACACCACCCTCAGATGCTTTCGTGACACCAGGAGCTGCTGTACTTCCTACCCCTACATCTGTATGATCCGGTACAGGAGATCCTTCTTGATCATGAATTAGGGTCCTGGTCCCCTAGCGTTTTCATCTATGGATACCCCATCTATCTCAGCCACCTCCTTCCTGATGTTATCATATCTCAGGTCTTCCGCCTAGTCCCGTCCAAAATTCTCTTTCTCAGGACTAACCTGGCCCCGGGTCAGGATCCGGGTTCCCAAGGCCTTAGCTGCCCTCCTTTCCCACTTGGTCTTCCTGACCCTCCTGGGAACAGACCTTAGATATCTCAGAGAAAATCAGAGGGTGGCATTCTGCTGTGTATGACTCGTTAACTTTGGGATCCTCTTCTTCCTCCAACCCCTCTGGTGGGAGCAAGCTTCCAAACCCTGGGAAATCTCTCCCTATGAGTACGGGGTATGGGAGTTTAGGGACCACCCCTGCTGTTACCCTGGTAATGTTCCCCTGGATCTCAGTCTTTACTGGGATGGTGGGATAATAAGTAACCGCCCCATGGACCAGGGCTGGCTCTAGGGTTTTTGCCGGCCCAAGCGGCGGGGGGGAAGGGAAGCCGCAATCGCAATCAGCGGCAGCTCCACCGCGCCACTTTCTTCTTTGGCGGCACTTCGGCAGCAGGTCCTTCTCTCTGAGAGGGACCGAGGGACCCGCCACCGAATTGCCGCCGAAGAGACGGATGTGCCGCCCCTTCCCCTTGGCTGCCTCAGGCACCTGCTTGCTGCGCTGGTACCTGGAGCCAGCCCTGCCATGGATGCATGTTACCCCTGTATGTTTGGCCTGCATCAGTTGACTGCATTTCACTAGCTTCCCTGTGATGAGGGGGATAGCACTCCCGGAGTCTACAAGCGCCGTGATCTCTACCCCATTCAGTCTCATCAGGCTTGTATATTTATGTGGTGTTAGCGCAACACCCACTAAGTGGATTAGGATGCACGGGTCTGCCCAGGTCCCCAGGTTACACTGCATGGGCTCATCAGCATTGGGACACTGGGTTGCTATGTGCCACAACTCTCCTCATGCATAACATCTATACATGGCCCTAGTCACCCCCCTGTCCTTTGGGCTAGGGGGACTGGCCCACAGTCCTCTTTGCCCAGGTCGCTCCATCTCTTCATGGTCCCTGGCTGGTCCTCAGCTCCCCTCTTCTCCCACCTAGACCTTCCTGGGTGCTCGGTCGTCCGAATTCCCGGGATCGGGGCCCATCATTTGATTCAGAAAGAATCTTCCCTGGGTGGTCATGAAAGTTCCCTGGCCATCATCCGTCTCTCCACCAGTGCGACCACCTCGTCACAGGAGGAGGGGTCATTCTGGCCCACCCATGCACAAAGGTCTGGTGGCAGTCCCCTCGTGTACCAGTCTATGACCAGAATCTCCAGAACCTCCTCGGAACTATGGGCCTTGGGTCGCAGCCACTTCTGTGCGAGGTGGGTGAGGTCAAATAGTTGGGACCTTAGAGGCTTGCTCTGTTTGTACCTCCACTCGTGATACCTCTGGGCTCGCACTGCTGCCATTACCCCCAAATGGGCCAGGATCTCCACCTTCAATTGGGAGTAGTCAGACGTGACTTCTGCAGGCATATCATGGTAAGCCTTCTGGGCCTCCCCACACAAAAAGGGGGCGAGGATGTCGGCCCACTGGTCCTGGGGTCAGGCCTTACACAATGCGGTCCTTTAAAAGGTAAGGAGGTACGCCTCCACATTGTCTTCTGCAATCATCTTTGGTAGGTAACCAGTGGCCTTTAGGACTCAAGTCTCATTGGGCCCACAGGATAGGGTGGTCAGGGCTTTCAGCTGGTCCATCACCTCTCGCAGGAGGGCTCAGTCCTGAGCAGCCTGATTCATCCGCAATTGGTTGGTCTAGTGCTGCAACCCCATCAATTCCTGCTGGACTGTCATCTGGGCTCAGGTGGCCTCCTGCTGAGTCGCTGTGGCCCGTACTAGTGCCCTCACCACTTCGTCCATTGTGGGGAGGACAAGAAAATCCCCCTTTTCTATTTTTTTTTTGCTTAGTCCGCTGCGCTGTCACACAATCCCACCCCTGACACCAATTGTAACAGAGCTCCTTCTCTGCCTCGGTGGGTTCTGTGCTTCCACTTAGCAGTGGGCCAGGGTATTCCTCTCAATCTCAGAATTTCCCCATGCCCCTGGGCTTGCTGACCATACCTTGCCTGCGCAGGGTTCCTAATATACCTGCCTTCCGGCACTCTACTGTAGCCATCTGGCCTAACCCTGTCACAAATGTTAAAAAGGTCTGTAAGAGACCATTCCCCTTCTAAAAAAATCAAAAGAAATATTAATACTATTTCCATGGAAATTGAATCAGGCCAAAAAATGGTAACACAAAAACTAGGACAGAGTTATGGTTTTTTAAATGCTGCTCATTAAGAATATTTCAGTATTTTTTTGCAACATGTTGTAGTTATTGTAGAGCCTAGAAACTGTAGTCATGGACCGAGACCCCAGTGTGCTAGGTGCTGTACATACACAGAACAAAAAGATGGTCCCTACTCCAAACAGCTTACAATCTAAGTATAAAACAAGACACAGCAGGTTGATCTAGACAAACAAGGGAATACAAAGAAACAATGAGACATGGCTGGTGTCAGAATTGTTTATGGAATTTCCAATTTCCACTTTTTATAGTATTTGATGGCTTTACAGATGGTTTTATGTCTTTGCTTGAATTTCACACAATAACCTTAAATGTAACTTATCAAGTTTCTTGTTATTTAATCAACCAATAGCTTTTAATCAGCCTTAATGAAAAAATGTTCCATACTAGCCCCAGATACGTTCCGAGTCTACTGCAGCGATGGAAGAAACAGATCTTAATATTGTAAAAATTCCAACTGGAACAGAAATGTGCTGTTTGTATGAAGATGGTAAGTATGAAAATTTTTAGGAAAAATAATATACTTTGTAACTTTATTTTGTGGGAAAACAGACTGATAGGAATCCTGTACCTTCAGTTCCATTCACACTGCCCTGAAAATGTAGACATAAAAACTAAGTAGAGCTTTATAAGAACTTCAATTAAATTATTGCTGTTTGTTATGAAACAGGAAATAATATATTTTAAATGCAATGCAGCAGTTTGACAAGAAGCAAAATACAATTAACTACTTCTCTTATAAAAGTTAGGAGCATTATGCATCATTTTGTCCGGTATGCAGTTTGTCAACAGTTTGTTCAATCAGATCTCATGGGCTCTGATCCAACAAAGCACTTAAGCACATGCTTAACTATAAGCATGTGAGTGTTCCCTTGACTTCAATGAATTATCCACATGCTTAAAGTTAAGCACATGCTTTACGTGTTTTGCTGAATCAAGGCTTTAGAATGCATACTTTCCATTAATAGTACTAACACTGAAACTAGCTACCATTCCTGTCTTTTGATAGATACATCATTCAGGATGCTTGAGTGCCATTTAAGTATTCTCTGTCTTTGGTTAGACTGACAAGCAGCAAAATCTGTTAAAACTGTTACATTTGGCATTGTTCTGCTGTCTTATCCCACTTACATAACTCTCCTCCAGTTCTTTCTCTTATTCGCACAAGTTCAAGTAAAACCTACATCAAGTTTTGGAAGTGAAGCTTGTCAAGTCAGGAATATAGAAGTAACATTTCAAAATGGAGTCCTCCATGTCAGTAATGTTGGCAGTTAGCTCTGGGAACTTCATTGCTTCAGAGGATCTGCAAAATACCCACATGTATTAGCCAATTGTTGTCATAGGTTTCTAATCCTGTCATTAGGACCTTTAATCTACTTTGCTGTTTGACCTTAGCTCCCATGTTATTTACCAAAATGATAGTAGTATTGGCAGCCATTGACAAAGAGACAACTATTCTAGTGTACTCTGATGGCTGGCCAACCAGAGCCCTGAGTCTTCCACTCACAGACTCTGCTGTTCATTGAGCTCATGGAATAGGAACTAAACAATCACATAGCTAACTTCTGTCTTCATGGCTTCTGATCTACATGGGCACAATTTTCAGTGTCACTATCTATAAGTCTTTTCACAAAAAGAGAGGGTAAAAGTTCCAAACTCAAAGAAAATAAAGATTGCCACATTCAAGATTACTTGGATCTGTTACATTTAGAGGTCTCCTATCAGGAGCTGACTCCTTGAATCTGTTCTGACCCAGGTCTCTGTTTTTATTCCTCTTGGGAAAAGTGGATTCACCATCCTGAAGTTTTAAGATCAAAGGTGGTTATCCCCAAAGGAATCAATTCTTATCCCTGAGCAGAAGATGCAAAGAAACAATTATGAATCTAAATAAAACACATTAGACTGTAAATAGACTTTAAAGCAGGGGCATAGACAACTATTTTTATTTGAGAGAGTTAGAGTTAAAAAAAAATAGCTGTTGAATATTGTGTTACACTATCTAATTACTGTAGCAGTGACAGTCGTCTGATAACTCAGTTTGTTCTAATCAGCCCAGATGGGGGTACAGTTGTCTGATGGTCTCTTTGTCAGCTGGCTCTTGGTAGCTGAGGCCAGGTTGTAGGTATGTCCTGCAGCAGGCCCTGGCTCCTTTCTTCTCTGTCTGGAAAGTGGCTCAACAAGCAGGGTCTCCTGTTCTTGTGAAGGGGAATTCTCTGAGCCTTTGTAAGGCTCACCTGTCTGTGCTTCTCCCACTCTTTCTGCAGCCAGGCTAGCTGTTTCCCTCCTTCTCCACAAAGACTACTGATTCTCTCTCTTGGGGCTGTAGGAGTTTGTGAGAGTGAGACTGTGTTTGGTATGTGCTGTGTGCACTAGCTGGTTTTCTGTTAGTCTGTGTTTGTTTTTATTTCTTGCTGTTTCTTTGATTTAGGGGTGTTGTGTTCCCTCCCTTTTTTCCTTTGGATGGGGGGTGTTTCTCCATGGGGGTCCACTTCAGAGGGGTTTAGTGGCTTGACCCCCAAGCATGGGGTTCAGTGTGTTCCTGCTGTCTCCTATACTGTGGAGTCTGCTGTGTGTAGGTACAACTATTGGCTATGCTAATATAAAATCTGCCTCTCAAATTAGTAAATCTGCAGTGATTTTCCTGACCCAACAGCAGTTTGTGAATCATTTGGTAGAGGAGGGATTTTGGGTCAAGGAATCTTTTGTTCCAGTTTTTTCCATGTTTATTCCTGCTACTAAAATAGTTTTTTTTTCCAATGCCCTCCCTCCCCCCTTCATTCATAATGAGACCCTAGTATCTGATCTCTCTCATTGTTTCTGCTGTTAGGATTATTCTGTTGGGCTGCAAGAATCCAAATGTGAAACATGTTATGTCATTCCAGCCCCAGGCCTAAATAACCTGAACAGCTCTTCAACCTGTTTTTAAAGGCTCATATAGATGGGGTGGATTATACAGTGTTTGTTACCTCTGAAATGGTGTGGTGACCTGGTCAACGGAGGGGTTACTATTCATGTACAACTGGCTCTGGGTTCCCTGATAAGAATATTGGACCCCAGGATAGTGGGGAGGGGCTGGGACACCAAGGGACCAGCAGGAGACCGAGCCTGCATCTGCATGGCCAGACTATTCCCTCTGCCCATGTGGTCTGCCATTGTCCAAAGAGCAGCACTCCTCAGAGAAACCCTCTGTTATGACCCCATCACTTATGCTTGGACGGAAGATAGCCCTGGAAGTTGAGGAGCTTCTTCTTACAGAGCAAGCAGTCACACATTATAGAGATGGGAGTGAAGAACAGACCAAGAAGATAGATTTATGTTGGACTAATTCTAAAAGGGATAGGAATTTGGAGGCCCTTGAGCTGCTGGCCGTGGCTGAGAATGGAGCTGTGTGCCCTAAGAAGAATTGCTTTGCTGTGGGTGGTGGATCCATGACTGGAGCTCCCAGTGAGGTGCTGCCTTCCCCGGCATGGTGAGCCCTCAAACCCCCAATCCTGCATGTTACAATGATGACACCAGGTCCCAGCCTGGAGCTGTGCTTCCTATCATTATTGGGGAAATAGATATGCCAGCTTCTTCCACTGAATCTCTCTCCTTTTGTAACATTCTCATTATTCACATAGCAGTTCAATATTATTCTAAGCTGGCATAGTCTGAGGGAGGTGGAGAGGACGATGATGATCTCTCTCTGACTCCTCACTGATATCCCAGCTCATCAGCTAGGTAGGAAGGGTGGGTACAGTGTGCAGAAGATTAGTGGCTTCTTGTATAGCACTAAAGGGAACCGGAGAGTTGAGGTCAAGGCCTGTTTTCCTGACTTACAGCACTTTGTTCACTCAGCTACTCTTGTCTTAAGAGATACCTTGGGTGATCATAGGAAACATTGCTATCTCAAAAAGTTGCTGAGTATTTTGAGGAAGCATGCAGCGCTTGTTCAAAATATATGGACCTTTCCATTGGCTCTTTTTTTTTCTCTCATGTACTTCTGCTTTCCATTGTTTCTCTCTGCTCCTTGGCTCTCTCCTTCTAGTCTCTGCAGTGCTGATCAACTTTGGCTCTGCAAATATTAATGGATGCTGGGATGGTCATAAAAGGGCACAACTCTCTGAATTTCTCAGGGTACGGAGACACAAATCCTCTCTGTGAAGGAGATTGTGCAGGGCCAGCTTCTCAAGGTGGATACACATGTTGGCACTGTTGTTTTTAATCTTTTTACTGTGTATGCGCCCACACTGGGGCAAGACAGTGTCTCCTTTTTACAAACACTTGCACATGCCATGTTTGACTGTGACCTGTCTTGGAAGGGGATTTCATTTGCACTTTTTGTTTGTTTTAGACGGGAACCACGAGGAGCTACACCCTCAGTCATCCAGGGAACTCTATAGTCTCCTATAGACCTTTGGGCTAATAGATGTTTGGAAATTCTCCCAACCCACTGTTAGGCAGTACTTTTGACTGAAAGCTACTCCTAGCCACATCTCAGGGGCTAGATTGCTTTTATACCATGAAGGCCGGTGTGAATATGTTTGTTCAATCCGCAGGGGCATACATCGGGGTGCCCTCTGTCTGGGATGTTATATGCCCTGATTCTGGAGCTATTTCTGTACCTCCTAAGAAGCTGTTGACTGGCCTACCTGGGCCAGGAGAGCCAGGAGCTTTCCCAGTTTATCAACCTATGCTGATGACATCTCAGTTTTTGTCATGTCTGAAGGTGAAGTGCAGGCACTTTGTGTCTGTTTACAACTATATGAACAAGCATCCTCTACCCGAATTAACTAGGGTAAGAATAATTAGATCTTATTGGGCCCTTTGCAGTGCCGCACTCCCCTTGGTGCCTCCCCAATTACAGTGGGGCACCTCTGGGATTAAGGTGGTAGGGGTATTTTTTTGTATCTGAACAATACAAGTTAAGGAACTGGGAGGGGACTGGAAGAGAAAGTGCAGGGCTGCCTGCAGAGATGGCACTGGCTCTTTTCTGGACATTCTTTTCAGGGATGGGTTTTGATTGCTAGTGACATGTGGCCTCAGTGTTGTAGCGCCAGCTGCTGTGTGTGGATCCGCCTCCAGGACCAGATTCAGCACATTAATCTTTTTTTTTTTTGAATGCTTACCACTGGTTGGACCCTGCTTTGCTCTTCTTACTATTAAATGAGGATGGCTGGGGCTTATTGGCCTGGTCAGTAGGTTGGTGGCTTTTTGCATCCAGTCTGTTCAGCTGCAGCTGTACTCTGACTCCCTGCTGGCCTGGAAGTCCCTTGCCCTCTCTGTCCTCCATCGTGTTGGAGGATGGGCTTTGACCTTCACATTTTTTTGTTGGCACCTGGCTGATTACAAAGTTTAGATTTACCTCCATTCTGTAATGGCCATTTTAATGCGTGGTGACTTCTCTGCAGTGCCCAGCCTGACCAGGCGTTTTTAGCCTATGGTCTTAGAAGAGCCACTGTTTTCAACCCATTTTTATGTTCTGAAGCTCTTTCTGCCAGGAGCCTCTTTTCCGCCTTTACTCAGGCTGGATTGACCAAGCTGCCTCACCTGATTGTTGCCTGTTTGTCACGCTGGAAATCAGCAGCAGCTTTTGCTGCTGAGACCAGAAACCGGTCTGTGTGGTTTTTTTGGATAAGGTTCTTGCTGAATTCCAGGCAGCACTCCTTAAACGGGCTACTCAGCATTTGCAGAAAGATTTTGCAGGAACTGTCCTTCAAGTGGGAAACCCTCTGTTCCCCTCACTGGTTGCCTTCTTTTCCGTGGATGAGATTCTAGTGCACCCAGGTAGATAGTTGTCCTGGAAGGGTCTGGTAAATGTTTGTTTTGTAGCCATGATCAAGAAGCAGCTCCATGGTATGTGTGTCAAGGGATGGCATTATGCCACCCATTCTGTTCTCCCTGATACAACCCGGAGGATGGCTCTGTCCCTGGGTGACTTTATGTCCTCAGCTTGGAGGATGCTATAGAAACCTCCTCGTTCTAAGTGCTCTGGTGACTTTCATTGGAGGGTCCTGCACAGCATCATAGCAACCAATCATTTTGTGACCATATCAGCCCTGGTGTGTCTGTGCAGTGCTCTTTCTGTTCAGCCTCAGACATGGTGTTTCATTTTTTCCTTCATTGCCCCATTTGGTTCCTCTTTTTGTTTTTGTTTTTTCAGTGGCTTTTCAACAGTCTGGGACTGGTTTTCTCCTGTTTATTCTGGGAGCGAGATACAGTGCTCACATTCAGCAGGTTTCATTCCTGGCTAACTTGTTTCTGGGTCAGGCAAAATCTAGCCATTCTGAAATCTCTCTAGAACTGAGTGGTCAGGGTAGAAGACTTTTGATGTGCTAGGGCTATTCCACATGCAGATTGTGGCCCAGCTGCAGATCGATTACACCTTTTATAAACCTACTTTTAATTTTTGGTCGATTTGGTGTGTTAACAATATTATGAGTGAACTTAGTGATGATGATGCTTTAGTGATTCATGTTTAATGTTCGCTTAAGGTGGTTTCATTTTATTTCATTCATATCTTTCTGTGTAAATATGGCAATTTTATAACATTTTTAGTAGTTTTTAATGTGTTTTATGTGAATAACGTGTTTTTCGTGTCACACACACCCTCTCTGCATGAGGACTTTTGATCCCTTCTCTCTTAGTATCAGGTGTAACAATCAAATGGCAACAGGAGGAACCACAAATTACATATACTGATTGGAATGGGTATGCTTTGAATTTGGCATGACAGGATGCTATTGAAAATAGTATTATCCTAAGAGATACTCTTGTAACTGTTTACAAAATCGCTAAATTAATTTTAAAATTACCCAAATAAGTTGCTATATTTCAGGACATTAAATATGTAGTGTTAAGTACATCACCAGGTATCCATGTCCTCTGTCCAACAAGATGGACTCTCTGAGCAGAAGCATTGGTTACAATTTCTGAGAACTACCTTACCTTGTGCAACTTGGAAGGTTGTGAAGGATGCAACAAAAGATCCTGAAATAAGTGTTTGAATTGGTGGCACAGTAGCTCAAACAGAGAAGTTTAACTTCCTCTTTGGTATTGAACTATGACAAAAAGTCCAAAACATGGTAGGCAATGACCAAAACTCTGCAAGGGTTGGACTTTTCAGCAACAGGAGGACAGACTTATATGAAAATGACTGACTAATTCACTTCAGTCCATCAGATCAGAAGAAAGCAAAATTTATTCTGGGAGCAGATCCCCCAGAAAAGTTTAAAGTTGGAGAAAGTCCAGAATGCCTGATCTTCCAAGGAAGAGAAAAATTACCAAGAAAATGTAAATAGGGACAGGTGAACCCAGCTACCCAAATTCAGCAAAGGAATTTTATAAGTACATCTGCTTTGAAGTAATTGATTTTACATTGTCTAGTATTCAACCAAAAATCAAACAGGCTACAAAATTATTCAAAGCTTGAAGCTTTCACAATCTAGCCAAATATGACAGAAATGTGAGATCAAGACATGCTTCAGGGATATGGTTCTGAAGTCAGCCAGGATTGACTAGATTATTCAGCTTCATCAGTTTCAAATAAGCTGTCATCTTGCAGAAGGATTGTTGAAGTCAGTTCAGAAATATATCAGTTCACCCAGCCAAGGCCAAACATTAGCTGTTTTCAGAAGTGGTGAAGTTGATAAAAATGATTGTGGTGATGCCAGCTACAAATGTTGTAAGTAAGAATAGTTTCAGTGCTCTACTTAGTATTAAAACATGGCTTCGATCCACAGTGGAAGACTCACAGCTTAACTGGTGTATGATTTTACCTATATACAAGGAGAAAACTGATGACTTATAGCTTTAAAATGTTGCAGAAGAATTCATTTCAAGAAGCCCAGGGTAAAGATCATTGTCTGGAACTTTTTTAGATATGTAAGTCATTCTTTTTACTTGTGTTTAAAAAAATTAATGTTTTATTGAGTAGTTTTGTATCATGACTAAATTTGTCCACTTTTGATAATGTGAGACAATTGAGCTCCTATTCAAGACTCAGTACCTGATTTTTTTGGTAGGGTAGGGATTTGTCTTGTGTACCCCCAAGTTCCACCTCACTTAAAAACTACTTGCTTACAAAATCAGACATAAAAATAGAAAAGTGTCAGAGCACACTATTACTGAATAATTGCTTACTTTTTCATTTTTACCATATAATTGTAAAATAAATCAATTGGAATATAAATATTGTATTTACATTTCAGTGTATAGTGTATAGAACAATATAAACAAGTCATTGTCTGGATGAAATTTTAATTTGTACTGACTTCACTAGTGCTTTTAATGTAGCCTGTTAACAAGGCAATATCTAGAAGAGTTGATGTGCCCCTTGGAAGACCTCTGCTTACCCACCAAGGGTACACGTACCCCTGGTGGAGAACCACTGCTCTAGACAAATTCCTGCGCAGGTAGCCTTCTGCCTACCTAAATTCCCCTTTCTGTTTCAATTAGATACAGTATTTTCACTTCTGTCCACTATTTTTTTCTGTTGCTATGCACTGTGTGACAAAGTCAGGCCGGAAGGCTGCAGGAGGGTCTGGGAAAACAGATACGTTAGCCCTAGAATGCTAACAGCCCTTTTTCCTACAAGCTGGGAAGGGGTTACTTCAGGTCAATTAGGGACACCTGAGTCCAATTAAGGACTGCCTGAAACCTGTTAAAATCTCTCTCCTGGTGAGAGAGAGGAGAAGGAGGGTGGGAGATAGGCTTCTCCAGTATGAGAGACTGTGCTCCTCCCAATAGGGGAGACACCCAAAACCCAGTGCCTTTGTGGGGGAAGGACTGACACCCCAGGGGCCAGCAACAGGACAACACCTGCCCCAGTGAGGGGGCCAGGGAAAGGTATTCCCTTTTTGTTTTGGTGCTTTATAGACTTGTTCCCCTTTGTTTGGCAGAGGAGCACTTCTCAGGCCTGCCCCGAGGCCTGCCAGGAAGGCTCTGAAAAACAAACCCTGAAGAGAGAAGACAGACATGCTCCAGAGTGGGGACTGATTTACCCCAGGCCCTGTCCCTGCCAGAGGAGGGAGCGCTAAGCCCGGCGAGGCAGAAGGGGTGCCTTGCCACAACTGTTATAGCTCTTAAGTTACACTGCTTTTCGGAGGTAGCTGTATTTAAATTTTGGGTGAGGTTATCCACTTGTATATACCGTACGCTCTGATGAAAGGCACCATGTATAGCAAATGAGAAATTAAGCAATACAGTAGATGGAGAATTTCAGAACAATTACATCATGTTTCAGCTGCAAAGCATCAGGCATTAGACATTGACTTAAATGTCCCAAAGGCCAGCTATCAACTAGAAATATCCTGTCTGACATTTCATATTACTGTTATGAAAATGAATTGCTTCATCAAAATGAAAGAAGGTGTTAGACCCAGGCATCATCAAGAAACTCCAACTATATCCAAAACTTAGGGCTTGTCCACACAGAAACTAAATGGGTGACAAACTGGGGTGCAAATATACAGCACATTAAGTCGCGTGTGGACCCTGCTATGGTGTACTAAAGTTTTGGAGTGTGGACAAGCCCTTAACTGTTCTTTTATCATAGATAATTGGAAACTTTCCCATAGCGCACACAAACTTGTTATGCAGTATAGTATGAAATGTCTTTTTTTCCTTACAATTATGCTTTAGAATGTTCTGCATATTTTTCTGAAAGAGAATTGTTCACTAAAACAACTGATTCTCAGTGAGTAAGGAACTTTAAGAAAGAATAATTCTTATAAAATTACATATTTACTCCTGTTTGTTCCCTAACTAACCCTACTCTAGCTGCGAAGATGTGCTTCGGGGTCTGATCCTGCGTTGAAGTCAATGCCAAAGCTCCCATTGACTTCAATGGTGCACAATCCAGCCCTTGTTCTGTATCCCTTTCCACCTCTTGCCAAACCATATATAACTCTAGCTTTTCAGCACCATGGACACTCTGTACTGTTCACAAATTCTTTCAGCAAGTACACTTTCCTAGTCAGAAATTTACTTTGTTTTGTAACCACATATTTTCTAAAGCCAATTCTGAACAGAAATTATGGTCAATCAACATTATTCATAGTTAGTGGTGGCCTTTTGTTCATCTTCCAGGGAGCTGTGGCTTGTTTAATTCAGAAGACTTGGCTCTCTTGGTACCATTTGTCTTATTTGTTTAGAATAAATCGTTTTTCTTTTTGCAAAAAATCAAACAAATTACAAAAAAATAATGATCTTCTAATACATTTGACTTAAGTGTAAGGATCAAAGGGAGCATTGCATTCAGGTAAGACTGGATGAACCTATAGCTTGTTTATTATTACTGTGATTATTTGAATTGTACAACTGGACATCTAATTCACCTGGTGGTGTTTCTGATTCCTGACTGGATTAGTGGAATTAGTAGTAAAATCATAGAGATTTCAAGATGACTGTGCTAACTCTTCCAGCATGAACCTTATGTGAGCCTATATTCACATGATTTTTTTCTGAGATGTTCGCTTTCTGCAAATGCTCTTTCAGATAAATCACTGAGAAGAATGTTTGTAGAAAGTAAATTAAAGAGGTTGTTATCCAAACAAATCTTAGCAAAAAAAAGTTTGATATTTACTAGCTGTACATTTGGGACTGCCCATATCCAAAGCCCCTTTCATGTAGATTGGGCATGATTGTTTTGTTTTAAAGTCAGTCTCTTTCCTTTTATAATTGAACACATTGGGAGCATACAGGAAATATAACACAGAGACAGAGGGTGTGTGTAAAGGTTTCAATGGTTAACAAAGATTATATTTTATAAATATAATAATTTTAATAAATGAAGACAATATTTCATAACGAACATCCTAAAACCCCAAGAGTCTGTACACAAAGGAGGGCCCTATTCTGCAGTCTTATGCAAATAGTTCCATTTTTAGTACTGCTCAGCATGACCAAGGTCCATAGGGCCTGATCCAAAGATTTAAATCAATGTAAAAGTCCACATAGACTTCAATGAGTTTTAATCAGGCCCATAAAGAATAAATTAGGACTTATCTGTACTACAGAGCCTCTGCCAGTATATATGTACCAGCAAAGCCTCCTAGTGGAGAGGCAGCATAAATTGGCAAAAAGAGTTCTTCCAGAATAGCTAAACCACCTCCCTGAATGGCATTAGCTAGGCCAGCAAGAGCACTCTTTTGTTGGTTTAGTTGCATCCACAAGGGGTTGTGCCAGCATAGTTATGTCAGCAAAGGGGGGGTGATTTTTTTCGCACTCCTAGCCAACATACCTGTGCCGCCAAAACTTTGCAGTGTAAACTAAGCCTCACTTCTCATCTTTATTGAGGAATGAGGATGATCCATCAAGATAATTGTGAAGTTATTGTGACCTCTTCCACTGCATTGTACATGGTTTCATAACTAGCGCTTCAGTTAGATCAGTATCTTGACTTTTCTGAAACACTGATATTTGATGGCAGAAGAGGTACTATTTTAATCTAAAGGTAAGATGTTGATGATTTATTCTGAACAATAATATGCTTTCAGCCAAAAGAGACTGATGTATTAGCAGAATTTTTTATTTGTTTCAAAAGTGGTAAATATACTGTAGGTTACAGAAATTATGTATAAAGGGAATAGATAAATAAGCCTGTGATATAAGAAGTAGTTAGTATAGTCAAAGGATGGATGCGTACCTTCCAACATTTTTAAAATTGTTATAAACAGGTGTAATACATTTTATAAGTAAAAATTTGCAACAATTTTTATTCTGTTTCTATGTAACAGTGATAAATGTGGACAGCTAAGAACATCTAAGCCTTCCATTGTATGACACGCACTGCAGTTGATTTTATGTACTCTAGAAGACTTTTCTCACAGTCCAGTATTTGGGTACTATTGACTTTGTAATCTCTAGACACATTCTTAATGAGTAGAAAAGACACGAATCTCAGAGATAAAAATGCAAAGTAACAGTGACTCTTTACGTGGGTTGTCAGTAAGAGAAAGCTCAAACATAAATATCTGATGCACAGAGGTAACACAAATTATTCTGATAGATTACATTGTTTGTTTCTGTTGCAAATTACTCTGTCAATCCAGGAAGAGGAGGTTAAGAGGTCAGTCTAAAAGTGCTTGAAAGGATTTTTGTCAAAGAATTTTTTCATAAATTTAAAATCCATATTTCACTAATTATTTATAATATATGCACACACCAAATAAAGATTCTTATCTAATTAAGAGACTTCTACTATAGTCAGTGGGAAAACGCCCATTAATTTTAATAGGAGCAGGATCAAACCCTTATATGTTAAATTAAAACCGGATAAACTGGTTTGCTGTTGAAGGTCTCCAATAAATGTTGCATTCCTGGAACTGATATGGTTTAAAAAAAATGTGTGTCATAATGGGGTTATTTTTGTTTTGGGTTTGGTTTTGTTTTTTGTGGGGGAAAACATAGAAAATTACATGGACTTTGAAAACAGACTTCAAAACTTGCACTCTTTCCTTACACCTATCTTATTATGCTTGTTAATGTCCCTTTAATATGGTAATAATTGCCTGAAAACTGTAGGTAGTTTTAGTGTTTTTATAGGTAACTTTAAAAATACTGGTTTAAAACTCCTATTGGCCTGGACAGATGCATGACCGTGGTGTGAGTACCAACATTACTCCCATATACAGAAAGGATCAGATCCTAAGAGGTTCTTCAGCATGTTGAGAATTTTTTTTTCTGAGTGCTCTGAACTCCCATTGAAATCAATGGGCTTGATCCTTCACCTACTGCAATCATTGGCAGCTCTCCCATTGACTTCAACAAGTGTCGGATTCAACCCATTGGCAGTTGAAGATGCTGAACACATTCAACAGTTGGCTCTTACTGATTTATAAACATATTCTTGAGCAGTTCATATAAAGATACACCATTTGTTTCCTGATTTTGTTTCTTTTGCACCTCTTTCCCCCCCCCCCCCCACGTTTTTTCTTCTGGCAGTTTTCAGTGCACAGTAATAAACTTTGGAGTTCTGGAGTGGTGCAGTGACATTCCAAATGTGCAGAGTGAACTATTTCTGTGCTGACTCCATTCATAAACATAAATCAGGCTGCCCACCTCTCAGAATTTAGTCAAGTCCAGCGATAGCAATATATTGCCCTACAGTTAGACAGCTCCATGTTCTCTTGGACTACAGTTCATAGATTGGCATATTCTTTGGGGTATTAACTGTGTCCCAGCTTCAGAACCACTGACACACCTAGTAAGTGCCACATGTGAGTATACTACTCATGTGTATTCCTTATATAACTCAACAATTTAATCCATAGATATCATACTACCCTTAAAAAGAAAGTAAATATCAATACCCCTATTTCACAGATAGGGAAACTGATGTGCAGAAAGGTTTAGTGATTTCCCCATGGTCAGAGTCAGTGGCAGAGCCAGATTCTCCATCTTTTGATCTATCCATGGCACTGTATTGCCTCCCTTTACCAAGATGCATTGCATGTTGGTCTTGATATTCAACACACTCTCACTGGAAATGTAGTCTGCATATAAAAAATTGTGTTTTCATTATAGAATGATTCACTGGGAACTATTGAATAAAAAAAGATTGTAATAATGTTTGCAGCTGTCTTGATATCATCCATATCACACTGCAACTGGACAAAGTAGTACAGATGCTACAGCAATGGGAAACAGATATAGGTACATTTCTGAAAAATAAAAGCTGTACATACAAATTTTAAAATAAATTATAGGATTTAGCTTAAATAAAAGAAACTTAATTTCCTTTCCATAGAGGTGACCAGGGGCACTTTTTTATATATATATATCATCCAGTACTATAGGTAGGATACTTGACTTAATAAAAGAACTGAACAAAATATGTGACAAAGGAACAATATGATTATGGAATCTAGAGTGTCTGAGAACAAACATTATTGTGGTCAGAAAAGGTGCCAGAAGCTGCTTTGCATTACCCTACCACTGGCATTAAGTCCTGTTTCTGATTAAGGACTATTTGTCCCACCAGGAAAACATTCTTCCTTTTCAGACAGCTCTGAGTTTAACTTGGACATAGCAAGAGCAGAGGGGAGCTTTTAATTGATGGTGGTGGTTTTAAACGGGCACAGTTATGGGTACTGCACCGTGTAGGTTTGAGTATTAAAGATATACAAGTTATAACCGAAGTTTATTATCTATAGATCACCAATCTAATGTAATGAACTTGAATATATCTTGGAGCAGGCACTCTATTTGGTTATACATCTACAGCCAAAGGAATTCCTGATGGCACTCCAGTAACTCCAGTGGAACAACAGCAGGGATTGCTTTGGCCATCATGCTTAAAATGTCCAATTTCTGTCTGAGAGCTGTGTTGCTACCTGTACGGTGCACAGAAGAGCACCAAGTTTGTCTTTTCCCTGTGTTTATAAGGCTTGACCAGGCTAGGTGCTGAACATCTTCTGTTCCCATTTTCTTTAGTTAGCACTGAAGGCATTCAGCACTCTGGATCAGCCCCTAGTCCAGAATACAGAAATAATTAATGGTCACAACCATAAAAGACTCAGCTTGAAGATTGTGGATCGAGTTCTCCACTGCATCCAAATAGTGCTGGATGTAGCAGTGAGATGGGGCTATCAAGGAGTCAGTTATAGATCCCCAGTCCCTGGTCATGTCCCCTAGGCCCAGGATAGAACAGCCTGGGGGATGCTGTAAACGGCATCAGCTGGCAGGGGTCTTCTAGTGACCAGCTCGCTATTGCCAAAGCGCATTGCACTCCGGCCACTCTCCCTGCCCTGCTCCAACATGTCCCCTGCTTTGGGGAAGGAGGTGTAGTAGCCAATTTTGATGACTCTTCTCCTGTTGGAGGCTCTCGCCAATGGTACCCCAGTAGGTGGCTTGAGGGAGGTTTCTCTCTCTTTGCACCCTATGGATGAAATCCTGGCCCTATTGAAGTCAGTGGGAGATCGCCATACCAGATATCAGAGCGAAGGGTGCGTGCATGTGTATATATATGTTTGGAAATATTTTTAAATATTCTGTGTGTCAGGACACACAAAAACAGGAAAACAATAGGTTTGCCATAAATGATTGTTTGATGTTCTATTTTATGATGCAATGTGTTTCTGCCGTAATAATGTAAATATAAATTAGACACTTAGCTTAATTTGTAAATGTTCTGATAAAATTATTGCAAAATGCCAGTAGGACATGACATATTCTTGGCATCATTGAGGCTGAAAGATTTATGGAACTTTGGCGGCTGATTTTACTTATGAAAAGGACAAGGTTGGAAAGTTGGCTTGTTTATTCACTAAATAGTCTCCAGTGCCTCTTCCAATATAAACCATGGGAATGTGGAACTCAGACCAATATTGACAGTATCTCATTGAAACATTATAGTGATAACTTTATCAGTGGTATGTGACACAAGATGGCACCAGACCATAACGTGCTGTCTTCATATAGGTCTACAAACATTTTAGATAAACTGTTTGCTTACTTTTAAAGATCTCTGAAATGCTGTTAGCACATGTATTTGTTTTACTGAATTTAACATCTATACTTTTCAAATTGTTTTAATTCATGGGGTGCCAAGAACAAGAATAAATTACAAAATCACATTTAATGTTAGTGACTCTTTAAATGGAATTTTTCATTCAAACTTTGTCATTAAAATAGAAAGACCTTTTGGTTGTGACCATACAAGCATAATAAATTGTGTATGTTTGTGATACTGAATGAATCTTGCCCATATGCTGCACTGCAAGGCTACATGAATGAAGCATTTACCAAATCAGGCCCACCACATTAAACAGAAAAACAATCTTTATTCATGGTAACTTATCAGTTTCAATTAATCAACCTTAACAATAGAAAT